TGGTGGTGGTGGTGGTGGTGGTGATGGTGTTGTTGTTGTTGTTGTTGTTGTTGGTGTTGGTGGTGGTGGTGGCAGTGTTGTTGTTGTTGTTTTGTTGTTGGTGGTGGTGGTGGTGGTGATGGTGTGGGTGGTGGCGGCAGTGGTGATGGTGGTGTTGGTGGGTGTTGGTGTTGGTGTTGGTGTTGGTGTTGGTGTCGGTGGGTGGTGGTTTTGGTTGTGGTGGTGGTGTTGGTGTTGGTGGTGGCAGTGTTGTTGTTGTTGTTGTTGTTGTTGTTGTTGTTGTTGTTGGCGGCGGTATTGATAGTGGTGGTGGTGTTGCTGGTGGTGGCGGCGGCGGTGGTTGCGGTGGTGTTGGTGGTGGTGATGGTGATACCAGCAGTGGTGGTAGTGGTGGTAGTGGCCGTGGATGTGGTCATGGAGGTGATGGTGTGTGGAGGGGGAAGAGCGATAGGAAGACATCTGAGACACGCAGCATCGTGCCCGTGGCAATGAGCATCTGGTAATACCGCATCTGAACAGCAGAGCGCACACACAGAAAATCCATTCAGCGGTGCAGAGTAGCGAACGCAAGATACGATAGAGGCCTCGCCAGGTAGAAATAAGAGCCACGCTGCGCTCCGTGTCACTGTCAGGACATATAGCAACAATACGACCCCTACTATTGGGTCTCATCGTATTTAATTTCAGGTGCATCACGGATGTCATACCTAGTCTAGCACGGGTGTCACCGCTAGAATAACAGGTATGCTGCAGCAAGTACAACACGGACGCTACAGGTAGTACAACATGGAAACTACCATTAATACAACACGGACGCTACAGCCAAACAGCATGAATGTCAGAACCTAAAATTCAGCACAGACGCCACAGTATACAGCATCGTTGTCACAGCCTATACAGATTAAGCAGCCACAGCCGAGCTACAGCATTTAAGATTATCACAGCTGGTACAAGCATAGATTCGACAGCTAGTTACAGCATAGATGATCACCAGCAGTACAGCATAAAGCGTCAGCAGTCTGTACGCATACGTGTCAAACAGCGTTTTGTTAGACAGCCATAATGTCCCAGCTAGCTACAGCATAGATCACAGAGTACACATAGATGTCACACCATTAAAGCATAATGTTACAGCTAGTGCGCATACATGTCACCAGCTAGCCTACAGATAAGCTCACAGCCAGTACAGCATAATTTTACAGCCTAGTACAGCATAGATGTCACAGCTAGTACAGCATAAACGTCACAGCTGGTACAGCATAGATGTCACAGCTAGTACAGCATAGATGTCACAGCCATTACAGCATAGATGTTACAGCTAGTGCGGCATACATGTCACAGCTAGTACAGCATAGATGTCACAGCTAGTGTGGCATACATGTCACAGCTAGTACAGCATAGATGTCATAGCTAGTGTGGCATACATGTCACAGCTAGTACAGCATAGCTGTCACAGCTAGTACAGCATAGATGTCACAGCTAGTACAGAATAAATGCCACAGCTAGTACAGCATAAACGTCACAGCTAGTACAGCATAGATGTTACAGCTAGTACAGCATAGATGTTACAGCTAGTACAGCATAAATGCCACAGCTAGTACAGCATAAATGCCACAGCTAGTACAGCATAAATGCCACAGCTAGTACAGCATAAATGCCACAGCTAGTACAGCATAAATGCCACAGCTAAAAGTCAGCAGCAGCAGCAGCAGCAGCAGCATGGTCGAACGCTCAGTGACAGAGTGGCGCTCCCCGCTGCGTCGCGCTACTCACGTGTTATGAGAGGTAGCGACGAAATAGTGTGGCAGCGGATGAGTCATGTCCTGGCAGACGACACGATGTGCAGGCTCGAATACGTCACATTCGTCGGAGAGCAAATAGCTGGTGAAGCCTGCGCGGGGAATAACGGACAGGATTAGTACTTCAGATCAGACTCAGATTAGTATACCGATCGTCCCTCATTTATATAAATACTATAGTTATATTGCACATAGTATTGCATATATATACATAGACTGTATATACGAAAAATTATTCGTCACTCGTCGTTCCTTTACTATTGCAGTACACTGCTATTTTTGTGCTGCCGTTTTATACGCATTAGTGTTATTATTGTTTTCTGGATTAGAATTCACCATCTTACTTTCTTCCATCCATCTTAGAATCGCACACACTCAACAGAGTTTACAAAAACATGACGTTTTCCGTGCACACTTTACTTCATAACTTTAACTGCAGCACGTTGGACAGATCAATCCTCTAATTCGTCGCTGTAGGCTTTTAGCGTGGCCAGAGAATGATCTACGGATTATAAATTTATAACCGATCCTTTGAATACGACAGATTATACTTATAGTGCTCATCATGCGGGAGCACTTACACGAAGCGGACATAAAATGTCCAGTGACTGTACGCGGCTTCCACGGCAGCCTTGTTAATCCGCAACTAGTTATTTACCAATCGTAACGAAACTCCGCGCACACCATAAAGTAATGCTCTTCGCTTCAGTCACACGCACGCGCGCGCGCGCACGCACACGCACGCACGCACGCACGCACGCACGCACCACAAAATATTATATATATATAGTTTATATTATATTTATACTTTATATAGTAGTATAGTAATTCTCGATTATACTTATAACTTAACTTATATTAACTTATATTATCAACTTATATTATAATATATTTATAGCTATATATATTAGCTCAGTGTGCAGCGTGAGGACTGGCGCTGCCGGTAGTTGTGTTGCATAGATGCATTTACACGGAATTTACGGAGGAAACTGTGCGGCAATATGAGTGAAAGAGAGTATAAGTAAACATTATAAGAATTTTTGTAGTAAGCAGTATTTTAATTTCGTATTTATTTAGCATTATATTTTATTGAAACGCTTCAAGTGCCTGTGGCCCGCGTGGTATCGATGCTACACGTTTCACCGCACAGCGTATATATATATATTATATATATCTATATATATAATTTATAAAACACGTGTGAAGCAGAGGCTTGGACAGAGCCTCTACGGGGCACAGCTCAACTGAAGTTACCGACACGTGGATTTAGCTTGCTGTTTTTGGTGTTGCCATTATATATGTATACTGAAAGTTTGTTTTAAGAAATTGCTAACAAAGTTACGCACAGTGAACAATGAACATATTTTGTTATTATATTATATATATATATTATTATATATGGTTTAGGACAAAGTAGCCCCGGACTAATCACAACATCCCCCGGACATTACCCCGGACAATTCGCCCCATGATTTACGCCCATGGGCCATTTACCGCCCAGATACAATTACCCACCGGACATTTACACCCCGGGAAATTACCCCGGACATTTACCCCCGGCATTACTCCGAATTTACCCCCCGGAACAATTACCCCCGGACATTTACCCCGCGGACTTCCCCCGGACGATTTACCGCCGGAATTACCGGCGCCGGACAATTACCCCCCGGACATTTACCTCCCGGACATTTACCCCCGAACAATTACCTGCCCGGCATTTACCCTCCGGACAAATTACCGCCGGACATTTACCGCCGACATTTACCCTCCGGCAATTACCGGCCCCGGACTTTACCCCCGGATTTACCCCCGCGGACAATTACCCCCGGACAGTTTACTTCACTTGGTGTTTATTACTTCATTGTTGAACAGTGATACAGGCAGGAGGTCTAGGAGGATGGAAGAAGTGGTGGACGGAGGAGGAGGCGAGGGGGAGAAGTGTGGGGATGAGGAGGGGAGAAGGTGGAGGAGGAGGGGGAAGGTGGAGGAAGAGGAGGGGAGGAGAGGAGGGAGAGGGGAGAGGAGCGTGAGAGAGGATGAGAGAGGTACGGAGGAGGAGGAGGGGGAGAACCGTGGTGGGGGATGAGGGGGGAAGGTGGAGGAGGGGAGGAGAAGGGGGAGCAGGTGGAGGAGGAGGAGAGGCGAGGAGGGTGGAGGAGGAGGAGGAGAAACGTGGGAGTTAGGTGGTGGAGGAAGGAGGGGGAGAAGGTAGAGGAGGAGGAGGGGGGAGAAGGTGGAGGAGGAGAGCGAGGAGGAGGAAGAAGAGGAGGAGTTTTAGAGGACCAAGGAGAGGTAGAGGAGAGGGAAGAAGGTGGTGGAGTGGGAGGAGGAGAATAAGAGGAGGAGAGGGGTGTAAGGAAGGAAAGAGGAGGAGGAGGAAGAGGATGAGAAGAGGATGTGGAGGAGGTAGAGAAGGGAGAGGGTAGCGAGGCCAGGGTGGTGAGGAGGGGAGAAGGTGTGGTGGCGAGAGGGTAGGAGGAGGAGGAGGAGGAGGAGAGGAGGTGGAGAGGAGGAGTGGGCTGGAGGGGAGGAGAGGAGATGGGAAGAAGGAGGGGGAACGTGGGAGAAGTGGCGAAAGAAGGAGGGGAGGAAGGGAGAGAGGGTGTAGAGGAGGAGGGATGAGGTGGAGGAAGAGGAGAGGAGAGAGGTGGGGGAGGGAGGAAGTAGAGAGGGCGCTCTACCTCTGCACTCTCGCTCCTCCTCGCTCCTCCTCTCACCTTCTCTTCTACCTCTCCTCTTCTCCACCACTTCTCGCCGCCTCCTCCTTTCGCACCATGGCCCTCGCTACCTTCTCTCCTCCTCCTCTGTTCCGTCTCCTCACCGCTCATAACCCTCCTCCTCCACCCCTCTCCGCATGTTCTCCCGGCGACCTCTCCTTCACCTCCTCTCATCCCTCGCTCTCCTCCACTCCTCTTGCTCCGCTGTCCTCTCCTCCGTCTTCTCCTCGCACCTTCTCGCCCGACCTCGTCCTCCTTCTCCACCTTCTCCCGCCTCCTCCTCACACCTTGTTCCGCCCAGCATTCTTCGCTTCTCCTCCTCCTACCTCTCTCCTTGCCTCCTCTCGCACCTCCTTACTCCTCTCCTCCACCTCCTCTCTCGCTTCCAGTCCTCCAGCCACCTTCTCTCACTTCTCTCCTCCTCACGGAACTTCTTCCTCTCCTCGACCTCTGCCTGTATCCTCGTTCAACAATGAATAATAAACACCAAGTGAGTATAATGTGGCGGGGGGTAATTGTCGGGCGGGGGATATAATGATCCGGGGGGTAAAATTGTCGGCGGGGGGTGCATTGCCGGGCGGGGTAAACTGTCCGGGGGGTAATTGTCCGGGCGGGTAATATGTCGCGGGGGGTAAATGTCCGGGGGTATTGTCCGTGGGTAAATGCCCGGGGTAACTGTCGCGGAGGGGTAATTGTCGCGGGGGTAATTGTCCGCAGGGGGTGAATGGCATGGGGGGTAATTGTCCGGGGGGAAGTATTTGTGGCGTGGGTAATTGTGCGGGGTAAATGTCCGGGGGGTAATTGTTCGGCGCGGCGGGGTAATTGTCCGGGGGGTTATTGTCGGCGGGTGAATGGCTGGGGGGTAAATGGCATGGGGGGTAATTGTCGCGGGTAATTGTCCGGGTAATTGTCGGGGGGTGATTGTCCGGGTATTTGTTCCCTGACACCATATATTATATATATTACGTTAGATCGGATGCGCTATAACAGGTAGAAGGCGAGGGAGACGCGTCTCCGGCTATTGTGGTAGAAATTCGGCGGCGTGGGGCTCGCGGTGGGTCGGCTGGTCGCTCTGGGCGGCGCACTCTTCAGATGCGTTCGAACTAGGGCGTACTTATTCCTGCATAATTCGATTATGGTGGGAACCTTTCAAGTCGCGTGCGATTGTTCGGCGTGTCCGTCGAGCATCCCTACATTTCGTATTTGCATATGGCGCGCTCTGTTTTGCCGGGGGAGCACATCCTGCTAAAATGTTTAAGCGTAGAATTCAGAAAGCTCCGCCACGTAGGTCATTGCTGGTCGGGTTACGGTTGAAGCCGGTATCAGGGCCCGCTTTCTGCTATTTACGTATGGAACGAATGCTCATATCCAGCGAACTATGGCGCCCAGATGTCTGGCTAGCCTATAACTTGTAATCTTCGATCACCCTTCATTCTCTCTTGCTGTTCGCCTCTTCCTCTCTGTTTGTGTATCTGCTTTCCTGTCTCCTGTCTCTGTCCTGCCTGCCGCCTGTCTGTCTGTTTCTTTTTCTTTTATCCCCGCTATTTCTTGTTTCCATTTGTCTATCCTCCTCCCTTTCTTCGTCTCTTTCTCATCGTCGCTCTCCTGCCCACTTCTTCTCTCCCCCCTCTCCCCTAATCTCTCATCTCTTTCTTTCTCTCTCCTCCGCTCCTCTTTCTCTGCTCGTCTTCTCTGCCCTCTTCTCTCTCTCTCTCGTGCTCCCTCTCTTCTCTCTCTTTCTCGTCCTCCCATCTCTCGTCTCACGATTCATCTCTCTTCTTTCTCTCTCTCTCTGCTTTTATACGCACTTCTCGCTTTGCTCCCTCTCACTTTTCTCTTTTTCTCGCTCTCTTCTTTCTCTCCCTCGCTCTTGCTCGCTTTCTCTCGCTCGTCTGCTCCCTTGCCCTTTCTGCCTGTCTTGCTTGCTTGCTTTCTCTCTCAGTCCCCCCTCTCTCTGGCGCGCATTCTCTCTTTTACTAAAAACTGTAGGTACATGTATGCGTGCATACGTGTATATGTGTGTGCATGGTCGCGCTTGTTGCTTTCTCTATTCATTTGTCATTCGTCCAGCTTGTGTAATGCAAACGGATGTAGATTGAAATTTTTTTCCATTATTTCAAGAACTTTTCGTTTTTACGTCTATACTCGAATGAATGATACAGCCTTCATTGGCTTGGGATGAGTGCTGTCATGCATAATTAGTTGATTAAGGCACTGATTCAGAGTGTACATGCATATTATTGATTATGAATTTTGCTCTCTGTGGAATTTTGAAGGCTAGTGAAGAATAATGTTTGGCGCTCGAAGGGAGAGAGAGAGAGAAAGAAAGCGAGAGAGAGAGAGAGAGAGAGAGGAGAGAGAAGAGACGGAGAGGA